GCTCGCCGTACACGGCGAACATGGGCACGTCAAGCCCGGCAAGCCGCTGCTTGAGGGCTCAGGGAGGCGTAAGACTCGGGCTTGGGGGGCTCAACCTCGCCTGGCCGGGCCGTCGGGAAATGACGGAGCCTGCTCTGAAGCTTGGCGCGAGCTCCCGCCGCACACATCCCACGGAAGCTGGACCGTCAGAGTTCCTGCGGCGGCAAGCCCGAGCTCCAGCAAGTTCCAAAATCGAGTCTTACGTGTCCCCGAATGGTGCCGCTGGCTCCCTCGTGAGCTTTCAGCCACTTCTCGAAGCAGACAGTCGCCGCGCGCTCGGTGGAGGCGGGCATGTCCATCGAGGCAACCACGTACTCGGACAACAACCGACCCTCCTCCTCCGTGACGTCGGAAGCCATGCCCTGAAAGCGCCGTTCGTTCGAGCGCTTCAGCCACGTCTTGAACCAGGGGATCTTACGCACCAGAGAGTGCGGAGTGATGTGATGAGCCCACGCCGCGTCCACAACGTGTCTCCAGAGGCTGTCTCCCATGCGGTCCTCGATGCTCGCAATCTTCTCCTCGCTCCAGCCCAGCAGGGGCGACAACAGCCCGAGGCAGCGGACACGGCCTGGATGCCGAGTAGCCCAGCAGGCCGCCACGTAACCGCCGAAACTGTGCCCGAGCAGCGCGAACTCCTTCGGCTATGCGAAAGAGTGGCCCTATGCAAGACTGACCTCCGGTGCGCGACTTTCGGGGGTCGTGGGGAGGCCAATGCTGGCCGCGCAAGACGCTGCTATCGCATCGCGTTCAGCCCTCTGGAGACTCCAGTGCACCCGCACCAAAGGTCACTACAGTCGGGGCGTTGACCTAAGGAACCCTGAATAAGGAACGAGGCCCCCTTTTCCATAAGTTAAGCTTCGATTTCCGATCGAAAACATAAGGAACACCTGAGGCAAGCTGTGAAACACTCGAGGAACGCGGAGCCCCTCCCCAACGGAAAAGGGTTCCTTCTTCAGGGCCCCGACTGCACAGCGACAGGCCACTCTTGCGCGTAGCCCACTCCTCCAGGCCCACGCTGCGGGCCCAGCCCTCGAACGCGTCCACGAACAGCTGCTCGGACTCCTCGGCCGTCGCGCGGCGGGCGTCGAAGGGCGGCCGCTCGCTGCCCCCCATGCCGATGATGTCGACCACGTACACGGTCCGCTCGCGGGCCAGATTTTGGAGAGACAGGACGAGCGGCATACCCATAATCTGTTCGGGCTCCGCGCGGGTTCCTTGGATCGGCGCTGGCCCCCCTGGAGGCACCTCCGGCTCCGATGCAGGAAATCCGCGCGGAGCTCCAACAATTCATCTTTGAGCCGTTTTCCCTTCTTGGAGATATGGCAGCAGCTTGAAAAACGCCGGCGCGCCCATCATGTAGCCATGAATGAGCACGATGGGCAGCTTGTCCTGATGCTCCACGCCTGCGATGATGGTTCTCATCGAATACTCGGTTTTCGGGGACTCCCAAAGGCACCTCCGGCCGGTGTTTAGAGGCACAAGCACGTCGCGCGTCACGTACGGCGTGTCTGGCATCCTCGACAAGATGCGCTTCTCTGCCTCGTGGACGTCGGGGAACAAAAAACGGCATCAGCATAAACTGTCAGAGGTCCGCGCGGATTTCTTGAATCTGCGCTGGGCCCGCAGAGCGTAGCGCGCCCGGGACCCATTGCCGATCCAAGAACTCCGCGCGGACCTCCGACATGTCATGCCCGGGCGGCTGTCTCTTCCCCGCGGATGGCGGCAAGCTTGCCCGCGCCCCCCTGGCACGGCAGCAGCCCCCTCGCACCGCTCGACGGCGCGGCGCCGGCGCCGCTGCACGTGGCAACGCCCGCGGCGCCCGTGCACGTGGCGCCCACGGCGAGGGCAGCGGCGGCCAGCCCCGACGCGGCGCCGGGGTGCCCCCGGAGCGGCCCCGCGCCGCGGAGGCCGGGCGGCGCGGGCGGGCGCCCCCGGAGGCACCTCCCGGCGCCGCACGCCCGGAGGCGCCGCATCGGCGCCCCGCGAGTGGCACCGCGCCTGTGGCGCCGCGCCCGTGGCTCGCGGGGGGGGCCGCTGCCCGCCGCGCTGGGGCCGAGTGCGCGCCACGGTGCCGCCGCGCGGCGGGGCGCGCGCCGGGGCTCGCGGCAGCTGCCCGTCCGTCTGGGCTCGCGGCGGCTGCCAGAGAGGGCGCGCCCGGTCGGCTGTGGGATCGGCCGTGAGGAGCGGGCCGCGCGGTCTCCTCTTCGGCGCCCTTCACGGCCCCCACACACACAACCCCAGGACCGCCCCCAGGCGGTGCGCAGCATCTTGGTCCAAGGCTTGCCCAAGACGGCCAGCCCAACGACGACAACAAGCACGCCGACCACGGAGACGCTGACGACGATGACGGCGACAACGCTGACGACGAAAACGACGGCGGCGGCGGCGACCGAACACCGAGGACCGAAGACGACGCGGGTGGGACAGCAAGAGCATGAGGCAGGTCGGGCTGGTGGGACACTAAAGCGGGTCGGGCGGGACACAAAAGTGGGCAGACAAGCGGCACATGAAAGCGAGTGGATCGGTTGGGCGGACGGACAATAAAGCGGGCGCGCGCGGGCGGAATAGTAAATGTAAGCTTTGCTCGTTGACGGGCCGAGGCCAGTGGAGAAGGCGCACGGGAAAAACAAAGGAAAGCGACGACGACGGCGAAATTACGGGGCAAAGAAGCGAGCGGGCGGGCGGGACGTAAAATGAAAATATCGCGCGTTGATGCGACAAGGCGCAGGAACAAGTAAGGGAATCCAACACACATCCACAGCGATGATGACGGGTGGGACAAACGTAAATGAGGGCGGGCGGGACAATTTGCCGGCCCAACGGGCCAGAGGCGTGCTAAGATCTCTGGTAACTACTTAAGAATATTTCTAGTTCACGCGCGCGGGGCGGCCCCTGGGGGGCCCTGGGCGAAAAATACCCCGGCCGATCCCCGGCCGGGTCCCGGCTGGGTCCTGGGCGATCCCCAGGGGGGGAGGCTATTTTTCGCCACCACTCACGAGGATCGTGGCCTCCGAGGTGGGGGGCTGCAATCGACTACCCCCCCCTCCCGCCCCAAGGGGGCCCCCCACGAGGCCCCAGGGGAGCCCAATAACTACGCCGCCAAGGAGCCCCAAGACGCTCCCAAGAAGCCCCCAAGAAGCCCCCAAGACGGCCCCAAGAGGCCCCAAATAGCGCTCCAGGGCCGGCGGAATGAGCGAAGCGATTCAATAAATGTAGACACCACTCGTTGATGGGACAAGGATTGTCGTCAGAAATGTCACCGACGTCGTCGGCGTCATCGGCGTCAACGTCATCGCCGTCACAGTCGTACGGGGGGAGCTTAGGGAGCGCCGGGGGCTCTGGAGGGGGGGGGCGGCTGGGACCCCCCCAGAAACCAAGCGCCCACAGGATGCTCTCTGCAAACAACGGCCTCCTCGCCCCTGACGGCAATGTGGCAGCCCGACGCCAGACCGTACGGCGTGTTCGTGTCGCGACGACCTCGGCGTCGATGTGTGACGCCGCGCGCGGATCGGTCAACCTTGAACGATCGACGGCTCTTCGACCACCAGATCGTTCCATGCTGGCCGATTCCAGGTCGCTGGCGGCGTTTAGCCCGGAATGCCCGCGCTGGGGTCGCCGCCGCGTCGGCACGACGCGGACCCACATTACCCCACAGGAGGGCCAAGCGCCTTCGTCGGGTCTGGCTCGGATGTGGGGAGGCATGGGCCCAACCCATAATTGAGGCCACGCCTGCAGTCGCGCCGTGGACGGAGGACGACCGACAGGGCGCAAGACTCTTGAAACTGCAACATGGTTGGAGCACGTACAACAGGCCCGGGAGTGAGAAGTCGAGGGGCATCATGGGCTTTGCATGGTCGACCATCTCGCCGGTGGCTACTGCAGTGCTCTCGTCGCTGATCGTCAGATTTCGCGGCTTAGGCCACGCTGCTCTGAGCCTGTTGGCCTCGCGTCCTCGCGAAGGGCTCTCGCGCCCTCGCCAAGCGCGCAATGCCATTGAACACGTGGCAGTAACAGGAGCGCCCTGGAGTCAAAGCCTGACCAACCACTCGAGCACCATCGCATAGTGCGGATACATGTTCCAGTGAATCCGATCTTCTTTGACCAATGGCCCACGTCTTTTTGATCAAGTCACGCGGTCATGCACGCCTGGGGACGCGCGGCACCTTCACTGCCCGGAAAAATCGCACACATAGAGACACACACGCAACACACTTTATTGTCCGAAGACTTCGGAGGTCAGCGCGGATCTCTTATGCTGCCTTTCTTCTTCAGATGCAGGAGGGTGCGGGATTCAGAGTTAGAGAGTAAGCGTGACGAGGACCCCCAGAGGTTTGGACATCTGCCCGGGGACTTGCTTTTCATCCAGGGTCTTTATTTGGCGCTCCCGACGCCCTGTGGCCCTCAGAAACCGAAAACGGCAAAACTCCGACAGAGACGATCTGGATAATACAGGAGCGTGCGAGACAGAAACTGTTAGGAAAGCGCGAGTTGAACATAGAGCAACCGTCCCAGCATTCATATAGGCCAACAACAAAATCCGATCGGTGTACAGGGCAAGACAAGACTGCTTCATCCATCAATGTCGTGAGAACATGTTGGGCAAATCACAAAATTAGGTATTATGACATTCATTGGCGGGCCCATCGTAGAGACCTCCTAGATGGGGTCCGAGTAGATGAGGACGGAGGACCTCGTCGCAGCGCCGATGAATCGCTGATACATCGGCGATGCATCGGCAACGCAGGCGACGCATCACTGCAAGCAGCGAGGAGAAAACTGGGCTCTACATCGAGTCGCATCGTCGATGCATGGGCAATGCGGCGCGATCCTCCGAACCCATCTGCTCGAACCCCATCTGGGAGGCCTGGATCTCATGGCATCCTCTGGTGGGCCTCTAGGCCTGTTGGCAGGTCGGGACGCTTCGCCACTGCTCGAACAAGGCGTGTGCGCAGAGAGCCCGC